TCGAGCTTAAGCTTAAAAGGTCCACATAAAAATGTATAAAAATATTTTCAAATAAAAAAGAAGTAATTTTTTGGCAAAGGTCTTATAGCCTTATTCATGAAGAATAAGTTAGATTTATAGAGCTCTATAAAGTGATATTTTCATACAAATTTTCGATTTATAAAGCAATTGAAGAAGTCTTCTTTATTTTTTATGAATTTGGGTGTTAAAATGTAATAAATTGTATAACTCCGGTGGAAAAACAGAATTTTTTTGGTGGGGCACCCTAATGTACTTAAGTGATAAATGCAGCGTCGTCTGCCCACACATTGCTTAAAAGCAAAGAGTTAAATAGCTGCCAATATATTGAACGAATATTTATTTTTTCAAAACAGCGAAAACAAACAGATGAACTTTTAGGCATTTACCAAAGCAAGCAAGCGGACGCATACAATAATATGTACGAGTCATACGCACCTATAAGTCAGGGTGTAATTGAAACTGCTGCCCACGCGACTGTTCGCATATTCGCATACAGCACGCTACGGCAACGGCATCATCAATTGTGGACGTGCAACATGCGCGACGCGCGATCCTTTAAGTGCAGCGCAAGTGCCACGGCTTAAGTATACACACTTATATCAGATATGCATGTAAGTATATATGGAAGCAGCAGCAGCAATGAAAAATGAGGCAGTAAGGCAAGCGTTAAGAGCAGAACTAAAAAGAGGGGCGCGCAATGTGGTGCGCCATTTGTCGGCAAATGGGCGCAATAGGTTATTGGGTATGGCAATATGTGGCGCAACATGTTGCAGCAACTTAACGTTTCATGTCGATTACATTTTTATGAATTTTGTAGAAAAAAACAAAAAAAAAAATTAACTAAAGATGGTAAGGTAAAATTGCAGAGGCGGCTAAAAATCATTGGCAGCAGCAATCGTTTGCTTTTTGTTGTTGTAAATTTTACAACCGCGCGCGCCCGGCATTCTTGCATATTTCATGAACAGCACTTTTTTATTTGGTAATTTTCTTACTTTTCTCTTTTCGTTCCATCGTTGTCGGTGCTTCTATGCTGCTTACCTACCGACTTGCAACACCCGCACTGCACTGCATACGGCACATTGCGCTTGGGCATGCGCGCGTCCACAATACACAATAGAAGCCGAGCGGCAGCCGGGGCGGCTAAGCAAATGGATGACTTTACCGCGAGTGCTGGTGATCATGCCACCAAGGCTGCTGCTGCTGATGATGATGATGATGTCAATATGAGCGCAGATGCATTTGCCTTTGGCGGTGTCGGCGGCGGCCATAGCGGCGGTGGCGGCAATCCTCTTGCCAACGTTAATGATGACGCCATGATAGATAATGTCTACAACGATGCTGATGCGGTTGCTGACTTGGCGAGCACTGATGGTGGCGACGACGACAACAACGACGATGTCGATGACAATGAAGACAACAATGCCGACAATGACATTTTAATGCTGCTCAGTGGCGAACAAGATGTCATGAGATTCCTGAGTTGGGCCATGCAGCAGCTCTATCCATATCAGCATTTTGCCAATGTGAGCGACAACAGCGGCGGCGGCGGCGGTGGTGGTGCGGAATATTACCACCCAAGCATGTACAACTGGAAGAAATTGAATTTATCCGGACACGTTGAGCCGCCATTGGTCGCAGACGAGCCGCATTATGTTATTGTACGGCGGGAGCCGCTAGAAGAGGATCTGCAATCGGGTGAGTACTAGTAATAATAGCAACCACAACCACAAATTTGTTGCATAAAGTAAAAGAAGCGATGAGGTAGAGTAGCTGGGCGATTGGTAGCCAACGCAAAAAGTGGAGTTTGTTACGGTATAGGGCGCGCATGCGCGCTTACTACATACGAATACATTGATTATAGATGCAACTCATGCAACATTTTTAAATATGTTCGCATGTATGCACTCGCTATATGACTACTGTGCCAGCGCGCCCGCGCGCTCACATTAGCGCTCAATTTATGCACGCCATGTACGGTGTTTTTGTAATTGCATATTTTGATTTCTGATATTTTAAAATTGTCTTGTTTTTTTTATTTTTTTTTTTGTATTTTTGCGCCTTTTACTTTATTTTCCCTCTCATTTCATATACATACAATGCATTTATTTAGTTGGCTGCGCATTTTTTATGCGATTATCGAACACTGGATCTGATCTGGGTGCGCGCGCGCGCCGCTGTGTTGGTTGGCCCAGCTGAATTTCACAATTTTTCGCGTTCATGTGGCGCTGCTCCCTNACACACACACACTTGTATAATTATTTATATCGCATCGTCATGCTTTTGGGTTAATTTAAAATGCATGTTGCGTATTACAGTTATTAAATACAATATGTTGTGGCACAAAAAAGGCAAAAATAATTAAAAGAAATGTCGCAAAGTTGTCTTTGCGCTTATTTGGTAATTCATTTTTGTTTCAACTTTAGTGACTGTGAGAATTTGTAGCAGAAGTAAAGTTTTTAAATCAACTAGGAAAAAAAATAATAATAATTATGCAAACAGCTGATGTTAATATTTCAACGCGCGGATTTGAGAGATGTGACAAGTATTTCAAAATTAAATGTGGGAATAATTTGCTGAGAAAAATAATGCAGCAGGTTTTTGGACATAAATGAATAAAAAAAAGTATACATATGTACATATAAAAGCATCTGCAATAGCAAACGTTGTGAATAAAAATAATACACTCAGAAAAAAGTCAGCATAAAAACATTTCTCTCAACACATGATTTGTTAGCTTTAACTAAATAATGTAACTATAACCAAATTATGAGTTAAGAGAAATATATATAAGCTGAATTTTTTCAGGGTGTAGACACAATAAGTACCAGTGAGAAAATTTTATTATTTATTCGATGCTTTTTGTTGTACCACTATGCCGCACAATACTTTGACTACATATAAGGCGGTATATAGGTAGAAACAAATTACGGTGTCAGTGGATAGAAAAATTTCCCTATCTTAGAGAGGAAAGTAAAAGTCGTAAATGAAAATTTTCACAAAATTCAACACCATTCATGCTCCCTTTTGCCCAACGAATAGTAAATTTAAAAAACGTAATAAGAAAACGTTTTTTTCTTTAAGTCTAATTGATGATTTAAATGTCATGAATTCTTTACGTGAAGGTAGATATTTATAATTTATTTGGTATTTTTTCCCCCTGTTTTTGTCATAATATAGACTTTAATATGTATGTTAAGATTATTAGTGAAAACAATTTGAGTACCAGTTCGTCAGTGTTTGGAATTAGACGCGTGCTTTAGAGAATTTCATGTAGCTTGCGAATATATAATTCAACCTTTTCGCA